GAAAAGGAGGGGTGAGTTGTGTAAACAATCTGTGAGAATACCCTATTTTTGCTCTGTTTGTCCTCTGTTGCAGCAAGATGAACCTGTGCATCAGTGGCCGGCAGGTGGCCGGCTGGCCACTGATGCAAATCTCAACAGAGTGTTGGTAAGGTGTAACAAAATGGTTCTAGGAATGTTCAACTGTGCAAACAGAGGCTTTCAAGAGCAAAGCGGAGGTCTTTTCGAGTGGAAACCGAGCATGCGCATGCACATCTCTCATTTCCCGAGACAGAATAATTAATTACTTAGCTTAATTGCAATTGTCTTGTAATTATTTAATTAGTTAGTTAAATAATTAGTTCATTTGTTGTTGTAATAATTAATTAGTTAAGTAGTTTAATTAGTTATTCATTTTGGTTTGTAATAATTAGTTTAATTAGCTGAATTAACTCAGCTTAGTTATTCATTCGGACTCTCCTTCGTGAGACCGTAATGTAGTAATGTATATGTCTTCCAACCTCACGTCTTTCTCCATTTTATTTACCCACTTTTGATGGTTAGATTAGGGACATGTTTCACTTAGCATATCGCATGGTTGCATCCATTCATTTGTATGGCATGCACTGAGACTCAGTTCATCATTCTAACTGCATTGTCATTTCAATACTTCTTTGAATATGTGCTTAGACCACATGTTATTTAATTTAATTGATTCATATGCCACATTAGTGGCCGAGCCTATTTTAGTTACATTTTTGCATGCGCTGCATTAGACATCTTGTATAGCTAGGAATCATGCATTTTTCTAACTTTTTTGTTTTATCTTAGCTTGGAGTACTAGGTGAGTCTTTAGTGCTTTAGCATACTTGCATGAGTGTGAGTGATTGCCATGTCTAGCATGCTTACTTGTTAAACTGTTTGAATGCCTGTGGATGAAGGCTTGTTGCTTGAATTGGAATAATTCAATAAATGTACGTTTAAGCCCACTTTCTTGAGTGGCAAATTCGCAAACTTTAAGCTCACTTGAGGTGGCAAAATCAAACCCTTTTCACAAAACAAACATGAAATTGAGTTGTTCCAATTTGAGTAAACTAGTCTATACTCATATGCGCGCATCACATAGTAATGCTAGACTAAGAACTGGAACAAGAGCATATAATGTTGAGAAAAATCATATCACTCTATTCATGACCTTCTCCTCTTGTACCCAAGTTCCTGAGCCGAGACAACTTTGGTGATGACGGACACGTAACCTTTGGCACGAGTCATGGGTTTTCTAGATTTCCTAAAAATATTTAGGTGGCGACTCTGTATCTGGCAAAGCAGTCCATTTTTGACAATTTGATTCAAAATTAATTTTCTAAAAGATTTGCCAGATTTGGACTCTTTGGTGTTTATCAATTTCACATTGCACTTGTAGGATTAGATTCAGAACCGCGGGAATCCAAACTGTAGGGCTTTCTTTCGAGCTTCTGAAAGGGGGCGCGAAAAAGCCAAGCTACACTACCAAAAGCATATAAAATACTTAGGGAATTATTCCCTTACGTAATATACATAAAACAAAAGATCTTTGATATGAGACACGTGACCACTTAGCAAAAGGGTGAATTTATCACCACCCAAAAAGGTTGGAGTTAGACCCAAAATGGTTGGCTTAACAACTAGAAGATAGGTTGACGTTCTCAAGTCCTTTCTTGAGCTTGATCACCTACATGACAGATATAAACTATGAGCCAAAGCCTAGTGAACAACAATGTGTAAAAAGGTTAGAAATAATGTCCGTTTAAACATTAAAGTCAAGTCACATAGCAGTAGCATGTTCATTAAAACATAGCAATCATATGGATCTATGGCACATATGACAGTCCTTCAATCATAATCATATAGCGCAATATCTCATGCGCATCTGGCCATGGTACTATTACCCCCAGGTGAGAGCTACGCGAATATAGGCCACGGTATTGTTACCCCCAGCGAAAGCCACGTGAACATGGACCATGGTATTATTACCCTCAAGTAAGGGCCATGTGAATATAGACCACGGTATTATTACCCCCAGGAAGGGCCACATGAATAAAACTGCGGTATTGTTACCCCCGGGTATGGGCCACGTGAGCATATTACATGGAATGGACTCATTCATTCAGTACATCATATCATTGTAGAACAACTTTAACAAAAACAATAATAATCAGAAAGAAGTATAACTCAAACATAGTTTTACTACATTGTCATTCACAGTTAGTTCCGTGTAGCACGTGACTAGGATGCGGCGTCTGACCTACATAGACATATGAAAGCACAATGGTTTAATATCCAGTCATTCTATTCGGTTCGTAACTAACTTATCCGTTACTATCCATTACGTAATCCAATTTCATTTATTCTTTCCTCTTGTGTTCATACAATGCACATGCACATGGAAACAGTTACAAATCATGCAATTAGAGGCCTAGAAGTCAGAGAAAGGAAAAATCAAGTTGGGCTGGCCCCTGTTGGCCGCATGTGCGATGGTCTAGCCGCTCGTGCGGTGGCCTTGGCCGCATGAGTACCGCATGAGCTGGCGAACTTCAGAATGCAACTTTGGCCAAAACAGGATTGGCCGCTTCTGTGGTGGACCAGGCCGCACGAGCGATCTGGGTTAAAGCTCAGGCCGAAAATCTACTCTAAGTTTGAAGTGCCATTTTTACACATTTAATTTCAAATTCATTCAAATCAAAACCCAAAACTTACAAAAAAAAAATTGAATAACCAAGTTCTAACTTCAATCTCAACCATGATTTCAAAACAAAGCTCACTGGCTATACAACAAGATTAAACTTTAGCCTTTAGGGCCAAAAATCAATAACCAAGCAAATGTTCACTTCCCTACTCAAAATCCATGGAGTTTCATCCTCCATCTTCAAGGATCATGCAAGAAACAAGTGAGTAATCATGAAAGATGACAAGTATGAGAAGATTTTGAGTTATTCCTACAAGTTCTCCCTTTAGAGTTTATAACAATAACTTACACCCATTTCTTCACACTTCCATGATGAGAACTTTAATTCATGAGTTTTAGGGGAAAATTTCTTACCATAAGTTGAAGATTATATGAAAATTGTTCAATTCCCATTTCTTCTCCTTAAACCCTAGAGTTCTCTTCATTTCTCTTCCTTTTCCTCTAGAACTCTCCCAAGTCTCTCTACAACATACACTAACTCTCTCTCTACACTCCGCTATTCCTCTTTTGTTGACTTGAGTTACTAAATTAATGAGCTAGTCCCAATATTCTTTTAATCAAATTTTAAGCTTAAACTAAATTAAGTCATTCCTTATTATAGTCTAATTAGCTTAACCCAAACTTAATCTTGCTAAGGTGAATTAGGCTCTAACCACCTAGTCCAACATTTAATTGTTAACGTTCTAATTTTCATACAGGTCTTTAATTAACGAATCAGACAAGTCTTTTCTCACACTACCATATCTGTTATGCAAAACTTACATCAAACACTTCAGGGCACATAATTTCCATACATGTTAGCAGATAAATCACATAAAGGCACATAATTAGAGTAACCTCTACTTTAGCTGGTAATCAAAGAGGTCGATGTTACAATAACCATACTATTTAATACCTATTGTCATCATATGAAATAATAATAAATGTATTAAACCAAAAATCTATCGTGGCCAAATATTTGAGAGGACTAAACAACTCTTAGAGCATCTCCAACCATGCTTTATATCTTCAAATTTGAGGCATCCTTCTTCTAATTTTAGCTCCAACCCATCCTCTATATCCTTCTCCATTTGGAAGGATGGATGTTTCATCCTTCAAATAAAGAGGGAGTGTGAAAAATGAAGTACGATCTCTATAAGAGCATCTCCAACCATGCTCTATATCTTCAAATTTGAAGCATCCTTTCTCTAGTTGAGCTCCAACCTATCCTCTATATCCATCTCCATTTGGGAGAATGGATATTTCATCCTTCAAATATAGAGAGAGTATGAAAAATGAAGGATGATCTCTATAACACTATTCATATTTTTTAAATACCAATTTTTTCCTCAAGCCCTTTTGCTTTTAAATTTATATACAAATTATATCATTTTGTATTTTTTGTTATATGTTATAAAATACAAACAACTTTTAATATGTACATCTAAATTTTATAAATTTGGTATCATTAAAAATATTAAAATTATATCTTTAAAATGAGTCTAATATTAAATATATTTAACAAAAAATTAAAAATTAGTTTCTGTCAAAGTATCCTACCAACCATGCTTCTTAACTTCTGTCAAAGTATACTTATTAACTTCTCCCACCAACTGGTACATAAAAAGTATCAGCATTTTAAATGTTGAATTCAAGTCATTACCATAAGAAATAGTCTATATATATAGATATCTTTCTCTTCTAAAATCATAATTCTTTTCCTATCAAAGCTACAATCATCTTTCCATATAAACTTTCTATAGAAATGTCTTCAAGTGTGAAATTGGGTGGAAAATCAGCTCAATGTGGTCGAGCATTCTTAATGGAAGAGGATAAAAATCTATGTAGTGCATGGCTTGAAATTTCTCAAGATCCTATAATGGGTACTAATAAAAAAGAATGAGAAGTTATGGGAGCGTATTTATGACAACCCTACTCTGTGTTATGCTAATTAATCTTAATTGTGCTTATAATTATATGCTTGATATGATTTTGAGTGCTAATTATATGATTCTGTGTTTCTCAATTTGTATATGTTCACCGTAGAAAAATATGTTCGTTTTCTGTTATAAAATTTAAATTGAATGCTGCAGAGGCATTAGAATGTGAAATTGTCTGTACCATTGTGATTAGCATGATTTTTAGAGCCTATGGTGAAATTTAATTAAAAATTGATTTGGATCAAAATAATTAGATTGAGTTGATTAAATTAAGCACAATTACTTAGCTTTAATCAAATTTGATTAGGCAAGCCTATATATATGAGCCTATTTACACTTAGGCTCATTCTTTTGAGCTCAAGATCTGAAATACACACTTTAGAGAGAGAGAGAGAGAGAGAGAGAGAGAGGGCTCATCCTTGAAGGTTTTGAAAGGAAATTCAAGAGCTAGGTGGATTAGCACAAGAATTAGCTAGAATTTGGAAAATTGGAGCTTCTAGGTGAGTAGTTGAACTCAAATTGAAGAGTTTAAATTCATAATTGAATGAATTCAAAGACAATATGAAGAACTTGAGGTCCACATGTTCAAGCATGTATAGAATTTCTATGAATTTGCATAATCTAGCATAAGGCATGCTAAACATGAAGACTTGTGCACCAAAGTTTACATGCATGCATAATTTTGTTGAGCTTCATGATTTTGAGCATCATTTGTGCCATTTGAAGTGGAATTGGAGTCAATAATTAACATGCATGCATGATTCATGAAGGTATGAAGCTTGAATGCATAAGTTTTGAAATTGGCAAAGAAGAATTTGGAATGGTTTTGGAAATGGACCATGATTTTGGATAATTGAATTCAAATTACCGAAGTTTTTATGTTACTCAATGTTTTTCTATGTTTTGGTATCAATTTGCAAACTTTGGAGCCTTTAGGGTTGTGTTTTGAAGCTCAAATAGCTTGTTAGAAAACCCAGAATTCAACATGTCTACTTGAACGAGGAAAGTGTCGCTCGAGTGTGAAAGTCAAGCTCCCAGAAGTTTTACAGAGAATTGCATAGTAGCTCGAACGGCAAACCTTGCGCTCGAGCGAACCCTGTTTTGCAAGACTCCTCACTCGAGCGTCAGAAGTCTCGCTCGAGTGTAAAATTCATGCAACCAGTACTTTTACAGAGTTTTGTAGGCCGCTTGAGTAGAGAGCCTTGTTTCAGAAATTTCGAAAAGTTATTTTATGTTTCGTTTTCCATTTTCTTTCATTTCTAAGCACTCTTAGGCATGCATTGAACATTGTGAATGAACTAAAGAGATAAGAAAGAGGCCTAAGAGAAATAAACAAATTAAGAATGGATTGAATCGCTTGTGACCCAATATGTTATGAAATGTGTAGGGTCAAGCGCAAGGGCAAATCCATTGGTAGAACACTGTGAGTAATATCTTTGTAAAGATATTTTCAAGTATGCTACTTTCGAAATGCTTACTTTTGTATAAGTTTCATGGATTTGTTAATTGAATTATGAACAAGTATTCGTTATGCCAATGATTGAATAAGGCCGTCGGAATACGATTATGATTATGATCTCAAGCATGAAATATGCATAAACATGAATGAATTGGGCCCGAGGTCGTCTGTCATGAATGAAGTGGGCCTGAGGCCATTTGACATGAATGAATTGAGCCCGAGGTCGTCTGACATGAATAAATTGGGCTCGAGGCCGTCTGACATGAATGAATTGGCCCAACGTCGTTTGACATGAATAAATTGGGCCCGAGATCGTCTAACATGAATGCATCGGGCCCGAAGCCGTCTGATATGAATGAATTGAGCCCGAGGCCGTCTAACATGAATGAATTGGGCTCGAGGCCATTTGATAAGAATGAATTGGGCCTGAGGCCATTTGATATGATGGGCTAGAGGCCATTTGATATGTTTGGGCCTGATGCCATATGATGTATTGGATAGAAATATGAATGGGCCTAAGGCCGTTTGATATGTTTGTTAATAATTTCATTCATGTAACTTCTTTACTTTGATATTATTCACTGGGATCTCGCTCACTCTCATTTATATATATGTAGGTGAGCAAAGAGATGTCCAAACCCAGCCTCAGTGAAGGGTGTGAGAGGAAGTCAAGTTTTGTGGAGTCAGCCTGAATGTCACATGCACGAGACTTTGTTTCTTGTATTTGTCCTTCCGTTTTGCACCTTACTACCTTGGTGGTTCTGTTGGATCACTTATGCATATAAACTTTTGGTTTGGCTAACTATAAGTTTGAATGATCCTGTATGTACAAGATTCTAAGTTTGTTTTTCAGTGTGAGTAATGAATACGTGTGAGATGTTTTGATATGCCATGTAAGCACAGCTCTTTGGATAAAAATTTTAAGTCTGCTTCCGTTTTGGCCCCATTATTATTATAAAATATGTTTGATTTTGTTTGAGACCGTAGGTAATCTCATGATTACTGGCCGGTTATGACCTCAACCTACAAGGGCGGGTTCGGGTACTTCGGGTGATGACAGTATTAGTGTTAAGTATCATGAGCTCTTGCCAAGCTACAACATTGGCTCTCGAACAACAAAATCCCTCCAATGTTGCATGGCTTTAATAATGAAGGCCATTAACAAGTTTCAGGGATGTGTTCGATCAGTTGAGGGCCTTAATCCCAGTGGTGCTTCTGAGATAGATTTTGTAAGACTTCTTACACAATTTTGTCATGTATTATATGTATAAGTTGATTTTATCTAACATAGTTGTTGTTACAAAATATGAGCATGTTCATACTATCTATATCTTACAAAATATTATTACTACTATAAATATTTTTTTCTTTTTATTTTTTTTAATTCTCATTTTGCAGATAGCTCAGGCCAAAATCCTATTTGCACAAGACCCTGAAAAGAGGAAAGGATTCCAATATGATCATGTATGGCTTATTCTTAAGGGGGTTGAGAAATGGCTTGACAATACCCTAATTGAGGCCGAATTGTGCAACACTGAGGCCTTTAATTAGGATCTCTTAACGTTACTTGCTTGTCAAATTATATATTTTATGCCTGTTTAATGTCAATCAAGTTGTACATAGTGGGAGTATAAAATGAGCAAAAATGAAAAACTTGCAGAGAAAAGTGCTTCCCGCACGTGCGAAGTCCCATTCCTGCATGTACGGCCTTTACCTTGCAGCCAAACAGGGCCTAAGCTTCCCGTACATGCGGCATCCCTTCTCGCATGTGCGGTGACCACTCCCACACGTGCGGTGACCACTCCCACAAGTGCGGCCACACCTCGGGACACGAGCCTGCTGTTTTGAATCTATTGGAAGAGGCTAGAGTTATAAAAAGACATAAAATAGGCTAGATTAGGGTTCTGAAAATTTTAAGAAGGAGAAGGGGCTAGGGTTTGGAAGAAAAAATTTCTCAAGCTTGCTATTTCATGGATGGTTCTTCTTCCTCCACCTCTTCCCACTCCTCCATAAGTGGCTAGGTTCTTCTTTTCTAGGATTTTGATGAAACTCTAGCCATGTAAATAGGTTTTCTTTTTGATTTTTGATTATGTAAAGGTTTGAACAATTGTATGGTGTTTTAGAAGTTTCAAATATATATTTTTCACTATTTCTTGGAGTATTCGGCTTTTTGTGATTATTGAATGCTTTTCATACAATGGTTTTCTTTTATTTCATATTCAAGGTATGAGACGAGTCATACTACGAGGGACTAGTCGTTTTGCTGTCCTAGTTTAGAGCGAACGACTCGTACTACTTGACATGGTTCGTGCCTATACATTGAACGTGATAACTCTCTCGATCAATGCTTCGAACTTGTAGTTGCAAAGTATTATTTAGTTCTAACTGTAACATAATTGATTTCAAATTGAAACCTTATTTACATAACTAGTGGTGAACTCATTACCCTAGGTTTTTATCCAAATCAGTAAATTCATCTTTATCTATAATTACTAGTTTATTCGCTTAATTTAATTTAATTATTATTATGTTATGAACAATCAATCTTTTTATCAAAATTAATTTAGGAATTTAACAATTAAATTAGTTTAATTTCTCGTTTGTCCCTATGGATCGATACCTAGACTTACCATTATTCTAAAGATTTTGGTATAGTTTAGTGTTTATTTTTGGTGTATGAAACAACCCATCAAATTTTGACACCGTTGCTGGGAACTTCTGGCGAAATTAGTTAATTTAAAGTTACATTCGTATTTTAATTTTGAGTTTAAGATTTTTTGCTTTCATGTTGCTAATTGTGTAAAGCTTTTACAAGTGGTGCTATCATTGGAGTGCAAGCGAAGCGCAACCAAGTTCTAAACAAAAATTGCAACACCAAAGTGCTTTAAAAATAAATAAATAAATAAATACTCACAAGCAAAGCACCAAAGTGCTAAAACTAGAGAGCTCAAGTGGAAATTGGGGACAACGTCTACATTTCAGGCTTCCGCAAGATGAGTAAAGTGTTTTCGTTAAATCGCTGTGAGTATTTTCTCCTTTGGTATTTTGCTTTCATAACTTAGTACACAAGAGTCGGAACTTAGTGTGTGTGTGTGTGTGCATGAGCGCCATTCTTGTCGCCCTGAATTGTGGAATTTGGACCTTGAACTAGAAATGACTCTTAGGAAACTTAGAGCCTCTTCCCATGTTCCTAGGCTTGAATACCCTTATCTATACTTCGAACCAATAAAGATGGCAAATTCGAATGGCCTAAATGGGCCCAATCGGACCTTAAGTATTACTTCACACCCACTGTATAGACAATACCATAATGTATTTAGTTACTAAACACCACTGCTGCTCATTATGAGATTAAGTTCAGCACTATCCAAATGCTCCCATCATTCTATGGACTAGCTCATGATAGCCCTTACAAACATCTGCATGAATTTCTAGAAATTTGCTCTATAGTGAGGATTCATAACTTCACCAATGAGGCCATAATGTTGCGTTTGTTTCCATTTTCACTAAAGGACATAGCCAAACATTGGCTGAACTCCTTACCTGTTAATTCTGTCACAACATGGGACCAATTATAGCAGAAGTTTTTGGAGAAGTACTTTCCCATTGGTAAGACCAACCAACTTAGGTGAGCCATCACCAATTTTGCTCAAATTGATGGAGAGCAATTTCATAAGACTTGGGAAAGGCTTCTCAACCTTCTCTAACAATGTCACCACCACCAAGTGCCTGATTGGCAACTTGTTCAAACCTTTTACTGTGGCTTAATTGAGCCTCACTACCAAATGGTGGATTCTTCTTGTGGTGGGACATTCATGTCCAAAAATGAGGCCGAGGAATGGCAATTATTTGAGAACTTTAGTGATAATTCCCTTCACCATGCCTTCGCAGCCCGGTAAGTTCAACAATTGGTAGTTGGGCCCCGAAAAGAGGGGACATT